CAATAATAATCAAATAGGAGAGGGATGGAGGGAATTAGGGAAGATGATTATGATATTTTAGAAAAAAAACATGTCATATCAATTAATCTAACCAACATCTTTAATCACTCAAAATTAATTAATTAGGTCTTACACTAAGGACCAAAGAGTATTTCTTTAAACATATAAGTGTCATAATAAAAAGACTAAGATCACCTTTTAGAAGAAGATGCCTTGTATGTAGGATAGAAAGGGATATTTGTCATTAATTAACTAGGTGTTTCGTTAGCAGAATATGTGATAGAAAATTGACTGTACACTTCCCTAAACATTTTCTTTCGAGACTCATCCACGAAACTAAATAAATAAATAAATATATAGTACTACCAAAGTATTGCTAAAGATCCAAAGTGTAATTTTTTGTATCGGTGACCACCTTAATTCGTCTTTGCAATATGCATAGACAGTCACCCTAAAGTTTAGGTAATTTAATTTGTATACAAAACCCCTAAAATTTCATGTTTAGCTAGTAAAATTTTAACAAATTAATTAAATAATGGCTAGAAAGTTCATCTATATAAATTTAAGTTATAACGCAACTTATAATTGTTATTATTTGTGTGCAATTTAGCCTTGAATTAAGTTGGTTTCTGCTTCTGAAATTTATTACTCAATTAATTAACAACACATATTTCAAAATTTCCTGTTAAATCAATATGCTTCTAAATTAATTGAGCTAAGAATTATTAGTGAATAATAATATATAGTTGCATGCATATGCTTTCATATACCTCTTTAAACCAACACATAATTTTCATAATTATAAAATCAGAAGAATAAGAGACATACCAATTCTCTGCTAAGACTTACACTTTAACTAACATAATCACTGCTTACTCAGCTATAATACCCATTAAAAGATCTAACCAAAAGTTTGGATTCCCAAACTCCCAAAAGTCATCACATATTTCATTGATTATAAGCTTTGAAATATGCTCATTACTTTGACATAACCATGGTCTTGTGACGATAAACAAAAGATTACTTAATGACTAATGATAATCATTAAAGTTAATGACAAGGACACACTGTGCCTTTCTTCCCTCTTATATACTGTAAAGTGATTGTTCCATTCAGCCAAATAGATTCTAGAACAACCTCATTTTGGTCCCTAAGTGTTGGTAATCGAGTATTATTAGGACCACATAAAAAATATTTGTATAAATTATATACTCTCAGGCTCTCAGAAAGCATCTGATTAGAGTTTTGATTCTGCTTCTTTAAACTTGTCCAACTTAGCTATCTAAATTTTTATGTATTTATGTCAAACTCATGGGGATGCGCATGCTTGTCCACTTCTTCTTTGGGTCAATTTTGTTTGTTTGTAATTGTATTTATATTCTATCGCATCATGCATCATAGAAGGGTTTGAAATAATGACTTAAAGATAATATATTCCTTTCAAGAATAATTAAATTATTCCACTTCTTTTGATGCGTCCCAAGTGGCAACATATGATGTGTTCATTATTTTAATGGTGGATTATCATGCAAAGTCCAAAGTTTTGTTTTTTTTTTTGGTGCGATTCAAAATATCTCCAAGTCGCTTTGGATTTGAGACTAATACTTGTCAGGCTGAAAGCATTTAAGATTAAAGCCCTTACAATAATATGCTTTTTGAGATCCGAACTTGTCTCAACTGACAACTTGTTGGTAAGTTCAACATAAATTTAACAATGACATTAACAAGGCACCAAATATTTTTGGTTCACCTAAAAGGAATGAATCATAACAAAGAAAATATTCAAACAGAAATCCAATCAATAATAATTTTAAATTTTATTTATGAATTTTATTTTTTCCACCGTTAAAATTTTTCAGTGTATTATGTAAATTTTTCTTTTATCTCAAACAATAGCAGCAGCAACATCCCATTAAGTGGCATCAGTTAGCACATCCAATGAATTTTTTGATTCCATATTATTTGATCAACTTTTCTCATCAACACATCCAATAACCTTTTTTGAATGTGTCTAAACCATAATAAAGAAAATTATGGAAGACAGAGAACATATGATAGAGAGAGATAATGAATGGTGTTTTGAGAAATGAAATAATAAATATATTTAATATAAAATAAATAATTAACAAGGGTAAAATAAGAAATGAGCTAAGAAACTTTGTGACATCTTACAAATATTTCTTATAAATAGGGACAAGGTAGGGGTGGCTGTTGTCTTTTATAAAAAGAGTGGAGAGAGAGTATATTATACTCCATTTAATCTTAATGTAAAGTTAGTTTGAGATTTATATTTTGTACTAAACATACGGGGGTTTCCATTTTTAAAAATTTATTTTAAAGAATCAAACACACAATTTTTACAAATAACTCACTTTACCAATTTTTTTAATCTCTACAAATTAATTAGCTAGTTTTTACATTTTTGGATAGGAGGGAGTACTTAGCTTAATATTTATGAAAATGGAACATAAAGTGATCATTGGGCATATCATAAAATGGAGTTTATTGTCCACCATGATTTGTCCAAAAAAAAAGCTAAAAGAGAATTCTCACTTTAGTCAACTTTATTTCGTATAGTGGATATCGGTAGGTAAGCATCAGGAAGAGTGCACCCACTAAACCAAAAGTCAGTGTATTAATAGCCACAAACAAATTTTATCTGCACATTTAATCCAAATGCTGCATTTTGTTTATGATGAAACCTAAACTATATAAACGTTCATTTGTTATTATATTTAAGCCTACAATCTTAGCAATTTTTAATTATGGGAGATGAAAGAAATATGACAATAACAATAATATATTTTTCATCAGTGAGCATCTAAAATACTTTTGTAATGTAAAACATTTTCAACTTAATTATGTCCATAAAAATTCTTCAACTTAATATAATCCCAAGCGGACTTCAATAATCGTGAACAAAATATTCACCAACGAGGAATAGAAATAAAAATAACTACTCCCTCTAAATAAGTCTTCAATTAAATTTTTAAATCTTAAAATTAAATTAATTATTTTTTCATATTTGATTAATTTAAGTTTATCATATCTTGGTCATATGGATTTGGTTAACTCATAATGGTGGATTATCATGCAAAGTCCAAAAGTTTTGTTTTTTTTTTGGTGCGATTCAAAATATCTCCAAGTCGCTTTGGATTTGAGACTAATACTTGTCAGGCTGAAAGCATTTAAGATTAAAGCCCTTACAATAAATATGCTTTTTGAGATCCGAACTTGTCTCAACTGACAACTTGTTGGTAAGTTCAACAGTAATTTTAACAATGACATTAACAAGGCACCAAATATTTTTGGTTCACCTAAAAGGAATGAATCATAACAAAGAAAAATATTCAAACAGAAATCCAATCAATAATAATTTTAAATTTTATTATATGAATTTTATTTTTTTCCACCGTTAAAATTTTTTCAGTGTATTATGTAAATTTTCTTTTATCTCATAACAATAGCAGCAGCAACATCCATTAAGTGGCATCAGTTAGCACATCCAATGAATTTTTTGTGACCATATTATTTGATCAACTTTTCTCATCAACACATCCAATAACCTTTTTTGAATGTGTCTAAACCACCTCAAATGATTTTTTATCATTTTTATTCAATAGAGACGCATCCCAACCTTTTTTCACATATATCTGTTCATTTTAAATATATATTTCTGTGTGACTACACATTTACCTTAGCATACTTATCTTGGCTACCCACTTTATGCTCATATTGTTTCTTTAAAGCCTAGCATTCACTACCATAATAGCATTACTACTAGTCTAGTATAGTAATGTAATAAAACTTTCACTTCACCTTATTAGATACTTCATATCACAAATAACTCCAATAGTTTTTCTCCTTTTAAATCACAAAACTTGAAATTCTACTAATATATCTCCATCAACTTCAAACATTGCATACCATCCAGCTCTTCTCATATCTAATAACAATTAAAAAAAAAAAAAAAGACTCATGTCGCTCTAGCGATTCGATCGGCATTTCGTATACATTGCTTACATTTATTAAAAGATCATTTCTTTTAATATAATTAATAAGATATATTAAATTTATACCATCACATCAAATTATATTATAAGATTGAACTGCCATGACATAGAGATCCTTGCTATATTATTCTACTAAGTGGTCCTGAGTATAGAGCATAGATTGTAAAGGCGCTAAAGAGCTTGTTTCTATAATATATATTCACATTTGTGGGAATCATGCCTCCGTGCTGGTTTATGAATGAAACATTTTGTTGATTACTATTGTTATTAATTAAGATAATCTTGCAAGTAATTATGATATTATTCTATGGTCTTTCTTCTTCTTCTTTTTTTGTCCACCTACTCTATGGTCTTTCACACAAACAGTATGCTAGGAACAATTTATTAAGTAGCTATCAAATTATAGGTCGATCTTCACATATTTTTGAGATGAACGAATTGTTTAACTATTCGAGTTCTTAAATTGAAAAGATGCGCGCGCGCACAATAATATAACGTAGAATACGGAAAATTCATAGGCATCATGTGTATCAGAAAAAGTTGCAACAGAATTGGATTGAAAAATTTTCTTTTGTTTGTTTTTTTCCTGATGAAAGAAATTTTCACCTATATATTTTCCTTGCCAATCGTAATTTTCCCTTCAATAATAATTAATTTTACACATAATTAATTAGTAATTTAGTATCGGATTTTCAGTCCCATTATATTGCAAAAATCACCCAAACCACCATAGTAGAAATAAACATATATATTTCCAGTAATTTTAATCTCTCAAAGATGTTGGCACGATTTCGCAGTGCGATGTTTGAAGCTTCTTTCTTAAGCATTAATAAGAAATTAATTTGAATAAATGTGATGTAATTTCAGAAAACACTACAAAAAAATAACTTATTACCGACGGAAATTTCGTCACTAAATTTAGCAATGGATTAGCAATGAAATTTTTTCATCGTAATCTGTTGAAAAATCTGTCAATAATATTTAGCGATGAAAAAGAGATTGGGTGATTGTCAACTAATTGATTTGGGCTTTCAAGGTCCAAAATTCACTTGGTGTAATAAGAGATTGGGTGCTAACCATGTGAAAGAAAGAATCGATAGGGCACTGGCTAATTCTGACTTCTGTGATGAATTCATTAATGTGGTTGTGTCTCATATTGAACCTGTGGGATCTGACCATCATTTGCTGTTAGTAGACTGTGAATTTCAGCATTCTAGAATTCAAAAATCTTTAAATTTGAGTCAGTTTGGGCTGAGCATGGGCAATTTCTGGATATCGTAAGAAGTAGCTGGAGAAGGGGTGTGGTTGGATGAAGGTAGTAAAGTCTGGGAGTTGATTAGAAGACTTGTGAACTGTAGAAATGCTTTAATCAAATGGGATAAAAAGATCTTTCCTAATGCTAGGAAACTAGTTGATGAGTTGACTGCTCAACTGGAAAGGTGCAATAGTAGGGTGATGAATGAAGAGAGCAAGAGAGAAGTAGAAAGTCTGATTAAAGAAATAGAAGATGCCTGGGATAGGGAGGAGAAATATTGGTGGCAGAGATCTCGTGTAAATTGGTTGATGAGTGGAAACAAAAATACAAAGTTTTTTCACACAAGTACCATCAGAAGAAGAGCAAGAAACAAGGTGGTCAGGATTAGAGGGGATGGTGGTAAGTGGATAGAAGATGAAGTTGGAATTAATACTGCTTTTTCCAATTTCTATAATGAACTTTTTGCTTCAGCTGGTTGCGAAATATAGAAGTTGCTCTACAATTTATAGAGAAGAAGGTCTCTGCTGCTGATAATGATTTGTTGGAAAGAGAATTTTCGATGGAAGAAATCAAAAGTGCTGTTTTTCAGTTGAATGGTGCTAAAGCACCAAGACCGGATGGTTTCTCAAGAACCTTTTACCAAGCTGCATGGGGGGTGGTTAGTGAGGAGGTTGTACAGATGGTTAAAGATTTTTTTAGAATAAAGCTAGCCTGAGTCCTTTGAACAAGACAAATATCGTTTTGATCCCTAAAGTTGAGTGTGCTGAAACAGTGGGTCAATTTAGACCAATTGGTCTCTGACTTTGCTTACAAGATTGTTTCTAAAATTCTAGCTAATAGAATGAAAATGCTGTTATCCAGAATTATTTCAGAGCATCAGAGGGCGTTTGTGGCTGGTAGACTGATTCAGGATAACATTTTAATTGCCCATGAAGCTTTCCAGTACCTGAAGAACAAGAAGAAAGGGAAGAAAGTGGAGATGGCAATTAAAATTGACATGAATAAGGCTTATGACAAATTAGAATGGAAATTTGTGGAAGAAGTCATGAGAAGGCTTGGTTTTGGTGAAAGATGGATTGCTTAGGTTATGGAATGTGTGTCATCTGCTAGTTTGAGCTTGATGATAGCAGGCAAAAGAGTGACTGATTTGAGGATAGAGAGAGGGATTAGACAAGGTGATCCTTTATCTCCTTATCTCTTTATTCTAGCTGCAGAAGCTCTATCTCTAATGATACAGTGGTTCATGGATAAAGGAAGACTCAAAGGAATAAGGTTAGTAAACAAATGCCCTATTCTTTCGCATTGTTTCTCTGCAGATGATGCTTTATTCTTTATCAATGCTGAAAGTAGAAATTGTAGTGTTGAAAGAAATTCTGGATTGTTACTGTGTTGCATCTGGACAAGCTGTGAACTTTGACAAATCTTGTGTCTTCTTTTCTAAGAATGCTTGCGAGTCTATGAAGCAGGAAGTTTTCAAAGTGTTGGGTATTAAAGCAAGTGATAATCCAGGAAAATACTTAGGCTTGCCTATGATTTGGAGCAAATCCAAATGTAAGGCTTTGTCTTTTGTGAAGTGCAAGATGAGTTTGAGATTACAGGGGTGGAAACAAAAATTACTCACTTTTGGTGGAAGAGAGGTGCTTGTGAAATCAATGGTGAATGCTATACCAGTATTCTCAATGTCTTGCTTTCAAATATCCAAAAAAATGCTGTATGGATTTGGATAGCATGGTGTCTAATTTTTGGTGGGGGCAAAAAGAGTAGGAGGGCAGAATACATTGGAAGTCATGGAAATCAATGGTAAAGCCAAGGGAGGGGGGGGGGGAATGGGTTTTAGAGAGTTGGAGGTGTTTAATGTAGCTCTCTTGGCAAAAACAGCTTGGAGAATCCTTAAAAATCTGATGAACTATGGGTAAGGATTTTGAAGGGTCTATATTTTCCAAATGATTCATTTTTGAAGGGCTAAAATTTTGCATAATAAGTCTGTAAGTTCATTTTAGCTCAATTGGTAAAACTGTGTGCTCGCATAGACGAGGTCTTTGATTCGAATCATAGAGAAGTCACTTTGAGAAAAAAGTATGTAGTGGTGACATGTGGTGCTAAAGGTGGCTTGCAAGGTGGTGACATGTGGTAGGCAAAGGTGTCGGAGTTGATGTAACAGACTATTTAAAAAAATTGTAATTCTAAAAAAATTAAAAAGAATTGAATTAATGAAAATAATATTTTATTATTATTTTACAAAAAAAAAACCACCCCACCTTTTTCCACCGATAGTGGAAAAAGGAAGGGGGTAATTAATGAAGAAGAAAAAAGAAGAAGGGGGAGGGGCGATTGTAGAAGAGAATAGAATGAGGTATAGGCAAAAAAAGATCGAGGAAAAGAATTAAATGTCGTGATATTAAATACCTGTAACCTTTGTCTTTCATTCATTTTGTACGAGAAGTAGAGAAAAAGAGAGCAAAAGGCAGATAGGAAAAGAGAGCGAGTGAGCTGAGTTGCAAAGTATGTGACAAGTTTGGAGATCATTTAGGTATACAAAAATAATTCTTTTGTTAGATTTTTTTTTATAAATATTTCCTATATATTTATAGCTTTATATTATTAATTTCATTATAATGTTTAGAGAAAATTTTACCATTTGGGTTTGGAGTAAATATAGAGTTTTGATAATATATGACCGTAGTAGAATTTTAGAGATACATTGTTAAAGAATTTTAATCGATTTATTTTTTAATGATTGTTTTGAGAATTTTAAATTAAGATTTTAGTTAAAATTTGTTATTCAAAGTCATAGAATTTTTTTACCGATTAAATTTAAGTTAAATAATTTATTTGAGTTATTTAATATATTATTGAGGTTTTAATCAGTTTGAATATTGAATAGGTCAAAGATATACTGTTGAAATAATTTTTGAAAGCTTAAAGAATTGTAAATTGAGCATTTTATGAAATTATATAAAGTTTAGGTTTGTTTATAATTTAAAGAAGTTGTTTGGTTTGAGGAAAAATTTTAAATGATTATAATAAATAATTGAGAATTTTAATATAAAATATTTATATTTTGGGTGATAAAGACATATTTAATTAATTTATTAAATTTAAATAATCTTATATGTAAATTATATTTTCAAAACAATATTATATCTATTATAAATAACTAGATTTGTTAGAGTTAGTATATTTTTGTTTAGAGGATAGTCTTAGAATTTTAGAGTAGTTGTGGAGTAATTTTGAGTTTTATATTAATAAATATTTATGTGCAATTTTATAGACTCTTGAGAATTTTGGAGTAATCTTTATGTGAATATTTGTAAGCTAAAGAGTACCAGGTAACTTTGAAAATTCTTTCATGTACATGTGAATTATGTATGATTATATTGTAGATTTACTAATTTTTATTATACCCTATTGAAATATATGTATGTATTATGACTTTTCAAATAAATGTTTTAATATGTTACTTTAATTTGTTAAGATTTATTGCTATTAATTATGATCAATATTTAAATATATTGATAGTTATTGGTATAGAAATTTTGTTGCTATCTTATTCTAATAATATATTTGAGGACGTACTTCTTATGTAATATTATTTACATATGACATACACATTGTTGGGTTAAGGATAGAAGGAGATTTACATGGGTATAAAATTACCATGTGGTATGCTATCACTCTGTGCACAGTGGATGGCACTTGTCAGGGCCTCTTTTTTCATGTTGTTCTTTGACGAGGAATTTATTTGAGTTGTGAGACATGTGACACTTCCTTATTTTATTTGCAAAAGAGGAGAGCCATAGTCCGAACTTGTGCTTTATATCTTTGGCCGGATATATCTCCAGTATCGGTGAACTTGGAATAATTCAGTAAAATGGATTAATTCTTATTGGACTATGTGTTAGCTTGTTACTCCAGTCAACAGTATAAGGGTGGATTATGATATAAGGGAGGATGCATATTGCATTATTTTTGTATATTGGAAAATGATGTTGGTATATTGTTAAATTGGAAATGAAATTGAGTTGAATGTATAAATTCGTGATTTCCATGCACACACATATATATATACATATGATCAGTTGTGTGTCATATATGATTTGCTTGTATAGGTTTAAAATTTTAATAGTTACTACGTTAGATCTCATCCCTTATTTTGTTATGTCATGTCAAAAATGTTTTGAATTATGACCTGCTTTGAATGCTAAAAATACGTATGGACTTTTAAATGAAGTTTTATCGCATATGTGGATATAATTATATGAGGTGTTGTAGTTGAGGTGGTGAAACGTGGTAGTAACACTTGGAGGTGGTTGGCGGGCATCACCGGTGATGAGGTAGCAACTAGTGGAGGCACCACATGACATTTTAATTTTTTTTTCAAATCAGATTAGTGAAGGAATTTTTCCATGGCTAATTAGTGACAGAAGAATCAGTGATAGAACTAATTCCATCACTAATTCCGTCACTAAATAAAAATTCCGTTGCTAATCGCTTTTTTTTCCTGTAGTAGTTAGAAAGAAATTAAACTCAAAGTATATTTTTTTAGTAGCAGTAAGGGCCAAATGGCAACTAGCCAAATTCCCTTTTAATCTTCCCTGTGGCAACTAGCTATATTGCAAGTTGATTATTGTTGCTTGAAATATTGTAATAAAGGTGTTAAAATATATCTTTAAGTATTGTTTGAAATATTGTGATAAAGTTGTTGGCTTGCTATGAGTCTTTGATAAAAGCATGTTGATTGTGGCCTTGTGTTTTTTCATTTGGAAGTATGTCATTGCCACAAGCATTTACCTTAATTTTTTGAGCATTTTGTATAACTAAGATAATTTCCATAAATCTCCCTCCCATATTCCCAACTTTTTGGCAATAAGTTCCTCCAAGAAAGGGTAAAGGGTAACCAAGTAGGAAAAGATATTATTGCTTATTTTTTATATTTTGCGCATGTTTTGTTTCCTAAGCCAAAAAATGTATTATAAATGTTTTGTGACATATAACTTGTCACATCCTATTTTACAATCACCAATCAGAGTGTTTTGGGCACTTAAGAACTATTTTTGACCCATATAAACCCTCAAAAAATTTAAAAAAAAACTTCAAAACATTTAATATAATGTGATTCTTGGGTTATTATTGACTCCAAAAAACTGGATTTTCTGAAAGCTTTTGTAAAATTAGAACTGAGGGTTTTCAGGCATACCTAGAATGTAATCAGATTCTTCTAATACCACACGTAATCTAATCACAGACAGAGTCAAAATATAGATATATAGCAAGTGCAGAGAATGAAAGGAAGAGGATGGTGTTGAGAGGAGTGATTGGGTTAATGCAGAATATACACATGAAAAAGTCCTCATCAGTTCTCAACTTTATGTTCACATAAGAAAGCTGTTCCTTCTATTAGAATATTTCAAATAAATATAAATGAGTATTTTACAAATGTATACCATGAACTTTTAGTGAATTTTAATTGGATCCTGTTAACCAAGGGTGGATTAAGTCCAACATCTCTTACTTATACTTAGTAGTTAGTTGCTATGGATCACTCTCTTTTCTCCCTTCTTTCATACTAAGTGCTTTATTGTAACTACATGGGCAAGACATTGTTATTTTCAAGATGTTTAATTAGAAATCTCTTTTATGAGACTAGCACGAGATGATCTTCTTTGTGTAGCTTGTTTTTAATTTTATTGTGCCTTAGATGTCCTAGATTTACACATATGACTTTCTCATGGAGAATCTAGTCCCTTTTAAGTTAGTTTAAGGCTCAGATTATCTTCCTTATATGCACGGTGCCGATACTTATGAAATTAACACAAATGATATCATAACACAAATGATATCATAAGGGGCACATCTCAAATATACTTACGTGCGTATATTTCAAGTGCCTTTTACCCATATATCACCTCAATATATAATAGTCACTTTCATAGCATAATACCTAAGATCACATCTATTATAATCATGGATTATATGCTAAAGTAGCAACCACTGAAGTATACATCCATGATATTATCGAACTCAAATGACATCAATAGAAGTATTATACCTTTCAGGTGCTCACATAGTAGTGACATAGAGATC